CACGTGATTAGATTCGCGTTCGCGAAGATGAGTGAGGTCGTTGGGCATCCCAGGCCCTTGTTCTATGCGATCACGTGATTAGTATCGCTTTCGCGAAAGCCTGGACTGGCGAAGCATTGCGTTTGCGTGGCAGCGTTCGCGTTCACGAAGGGAAAAGTGGAGAGGCAGTGTAATTTGGTCAACGTGAACGCGAGGGGAAGGTCGCATTCGCGAAGAAGGAAATTTTACCTGGGGCAGAATGTTTAAAAGTGGGTTTCGCGATTTATGGTCTATTTTCTCCATTGTTGAGCGATATTTGGAGCTTTTGAGAAGGATTGAAGAGGGAATCGAAGGGAAACACTTGGAGGTAAGATTTTTGAACTCAATACTCGATCCTATGTTGATTCTTACTTGTTTAAACATGAACTTTGTGGAATTTAAAGCCTAAAATTGGGGAATTAGGGCTTGAAATTGGAGAGTGTAATTTGGGGATTTGAGGGGCCATTTGAGGTTTGATTTTGATGTTCTTGGTATGTATGGACTCGTAGGAGGATAAGGATTCTATTGATGTAGTTTTTATCGGATTTCGAGACGTGGGCCTGGGGGCCGAGTTTGGCCAGTTTCAGAATTTTTGATGTAAATTGGTTATTTTCGAGTGGGCTTTGTTCCCTTAGCGTATTTTGATGGTATAAATATGTTTTTGGATAGATTTGAAACATTCGGAGGCCGAGTCGAGAGGCAAAGGCATCGCAGGCTAGAGTTTGGATCGGGTTGAGGTAAGTAATAATTGTAAATGTCTGTCCTGAGGGTATGAAATCCCGGATTTCACATTGTTGTGCTACTTTGAGGTGATGCACACTCCAGATGACGAGCGTGGGGTTGTGCACCGTTGGGGATTGTGACTTAGTCCGTACCGTATGACTTTTTAACCACGTATTTGATTGAAAACTGTTTGCTATCATCATGTTTTGGACTGAATGCCATATTTGGGCCTCGCGCCAACTGTTTTGGACTTTTAGGGGATTTTTACTACTATTCCTTACTGTTTTGACTTCATATTGTACTCAGTCATACTGTATTCTACTGTTTTCATGACTCAGCCATGTTTACTCCATTTTTTGACATTTTTAAACGATATTGTGGGCTGAGAATCATGTTTTACTATGCCTGAGTGGCTTTTTAGAGATTTCTGACTGAGTGAGGCTGAGGGCCTGTGTTGTGAGGTTATTATGGGATCGGGCTGCGCGCCGCAACGGTATTGTACTGATTCATGATTATGAGGCCGAGGGCCTGATTTGTTATGCCACGAGGTGGCTTGTTATAAGGCCGTGTGCCTGTTTGATTATGCCACGAGATGACTTGATATTGCATTTGGGTTATAAGGAGCCCCTCCCGGAGTCTGCACACCCCCAGTGAGAGCGGGTACCTAGTGTGAGTGATATGATGTAGCCCAAGGGCTGTTGTTGTTTCATATTGTTGCCAGATGGGCTGTTCTTGATCCATGTTTTGCCTGAGGGGCGGTTCTTGATTCATGTTATGCCCGAGGGGCTGATTACGAGTGATTGTGAGGTAGCCCGAGGGGCTGGTTCTGTTGATATTATGCCCGAGGGGCGGTTTATGGTACATGTTTTGCCCGAGGGTCTGTCTACGTTTTCTATCATTTTTACTTACTGTTTTATCACTCGTTTGAAACTATTGAAAGTTGTTTTCAAAGGTTTTTACTGAAATTGAGCTTGATTTACGAAGTAAATAATTTCTGCATTGTGTTGGAAATGTCCTGCATTTGTTGTAGCGTGTTGACGTGGCTTACATGTTTTCTTACTGCTCAACTTTCATTTACTTTTATTACTTACTGAGTTGGTGTACTCACATTACTCCTTGCACCTTGTGTGCAGATTCAGGTATTTCTGAACCCGGTAGTGGGTGTTGATTGCTCAGTGACAGAGTTATTGGAGTTAGCAAGGAAGCTGCCCGACGTTCGCAGCCCTGCTCTTCTCCCTATTGTATTCCTTAGATTGTTTTAGTATATTTTCAGACCTTAGTAGATGCTCGTGACTTGTGACACCCCGATGTCGGGCTTATGTATTTATTCCGCACTGTTCAATTAGACTTACATTATGAGATATTTGGATTAATTAAAAGCTTAAAAATGATTTATATTGATTAATGATTAATTTGAAGTTGTGTCGGCTGGCCTAGTTTCACGATAGGCGCTATCACGACCGGGTCGGTTTTAGGGTCGTGACAATTTGTATGACTTAAGATAGCTCTAACAATTCTTAATTTAATTAATACTTCCTCGGATCTCTTTTACTTGTCATATTTGATTTTTGTATGTTCCTTAAAAGAATATTATTTTTTTTACTAATGTATTGCACTAAAAATGTCCGTGGAGAACCCAAGTCCCTAAAGTTCAACTATTCTGAGTCAAAATATGTGTGAAATTATTGATTTGGTCAAAGAATGTGAATTGCAGTAATAGGATTTGGTATCCATTTTATGTGGTTTATATGACTTGGTTTTCAACAACATTATTTGAAGGCAATAAAACCACTACTCAACAGTGTAATAATGGGAACGGAATTGTAAATCCTATTACTTTTGAACCATATCATATTACAATATAATGCCAAATGAAGAGATCAGATTATAAACGTTTCCACAATAAATTCTAGATTTCATATTTTTATAACGAAATATATTAAACCTCTTATCAACTCTGATTTCATTTCAAGCCCACAACTACTGAGCTAGGAAATGCTTTAAGCATTACCACAGAAAAAGTTATATAGATAAGAGTAGAAAAATATTTGCCATATGGTAAATAGAATAAAATATATCTTTTGATAAAAGCGATCACAGATGTCAAGATGGCCGAGTTGGTCTAAGGCGCCAGTTTCAGGTACTGGTCCGAAAGGGCATGGGTTCGAATCCCATTCTTGACAAAAACCATTTTTCCTAGAGTGTGACATTTAAGAACAAATACCATTGTTCTTTTTAGTATGACATTTAACGGGAAATCGAAAATGAAGCTGGTTTAGAATTTTTCTTTTCTCTTTTTGGAAGATAATGATAGGTGGCATATAGTGATGAATATCTTAAATAAATAGAATTCGAGAATTCATGTGAACTGATAACCCAACACAGTAAATCAGCCCGTACCTTATTTCTATACACAAAAAAGTCAAAACTTTGAGGGATATAGTCCTCAACAACTAACTGGGCCTATAAACATGGGTGTTTGGCCCAGGCTAATGGGCCTATGGTAGTTAAGTTTGTTTGGGCTTGAACCCCATTCTTGACAAATACTCAATCGTAAAAATTGCATGGGGCGCCTTATTTGGTCACCCCCATTTAACATATACCTATTTTTTTAAAAAACTTTTAACTTGTATTCACTTTTTAAATAACTTCAGCCCCCTTTCTCCTCCTCCTTCTCCTCCTTCGTTTTCTTCTTCAAGTTACAAAACAAACTGGTATTTATCTCCAGAAGCAACGCTGCTTTAGTTATAAGGTCAACTTTTTTTTTAATTGAACAGTTCGGCAGTTGTACTTCTGCTCCAAATTTACAGCAAATTAGTCTTAGGAAAAAGTTTAAGTTACCAGTAGGATGAGTTGTAAAATTTTGGAGTTTTTATATGTTTATTCGTGTTTGAGCTAAGAAGATGTACACTATTTTTCTTAAAAATCACTGCTAATTGTGGTGCTTTAGCTCTAGAGCTGAAGTTCGCCAGTTACAAAACAAAAACTTCACCAGTTACAAAACAAAAACTTCAGCTCTAGAGCTGAAGTTCGCCAGTTACAAAAACTAGAGCTGAAGTTCGCCAGTTACAAAACAAAAACTTCAGTTCTAGAGCTGAAGTTCGCCAGTTAAAAAACAAAATCTTCAGCTCTAGAGCTGAACTTGAGGCCCGACTACTAGAATGCTGAAGTTTTGCGTGATTGCCTTTGCTACTTCAGTCCCGTATGCTGAAGTTATGCGAAAAAACGGGTACGCTTGTAATTTTTTTTGCAAAGCGGGCACAAGTTAAAATATGACACAAAAAGCAGGTATAGATGCAAATGCCCCTACTCCATCTGTTTCAATTTAGACGAGTTAGTTTGACTCGGCACAGACTTTAAGTAAAAAGAAGAAGATTTTTGAAACTTGTGATCTTAAAAGCTTAAGGGGTAAAAGCTTTGTGGGGTCATGATATTTGTGTGGTTATAAAAGATTCTCATTAAGGATAAAATGAAGAGTTTAAAGTTGAATTATTTTCAAATTTAGACATGTATCATTTATTTTGGGCAGATAAAAAAGGAAAGTACCATTTTTCCTTTAGTATCTTTGTGACATTGATTAGAAGTTTCAACGATATTTTATTTTTTCTTCTTTAAATTTATTGTAGTGCACATATCTATAATGTATGTCTTAAAATTTTTGCTTGAGCTGGTTAGAAGACCATGTTAGAGCATTTTTGTTGTTTTTAGTATGACAATTAACGGGAAAATATGATACGAAAATGGAGCTGGTTTAGAATTTTTCTTTTCTCTTTTTGGAAGATAACGATAGGTGTCATATAGACGAATGTCTTCAATATATAGAATTCGAGCAAAAATTACTGAATTCATGTGAACTATAACCAACACAGTAAATCAGCCCCGTACCTTATTTCTTTACACAAACAAGTCAAGACTTTTGAGGGATATAGTCCTCAACAGCTAACTGAGCCTATAAACATGGGTGTTTGGCCCAGGCGAATGGGCCTATAGTAGTTAAGTTTGTTTGGGCTTCTCATGCAGACTTCAGCCCAAATGAAATGAGAGATAGAAAAGTAACAAAAAGAAAGAGAGGAAAAATTACACCATATAATCGTTTCCAAATATAATATTCATCAAAATATATATTTTTTGTATATTAACTTTTAATATACATATTTCATACATATTCTATGTATATTTTGCTAGCAAATGTAATTATTTTTTGCCCACCAGCCAAATGTGTAACTTGCCCTAAAAATATCCAAGATCCCAGATGTGGGTTGCAAAATCAATTTTTAGAATACAATAAAAGGATTTGTTTAAGGGACAAGCAATGATCATCTATATGAAAATTACATTAGAAAATCCAAAATCTTAGTTCAAATATTTTGAACCATAAAAAAAATAATGACAATTTGTAACATAAATTTTCCATAATTGAATGAATCAACCATGACTTGATCCACTAAATTTCCCAGAACTTCCAATTAATCCTTCTCTTCTCAACTTGTCTTCCTTTGCTTTTCTACAAAAAACAACCCAAGAATTCACTTCTAAAGCCACAGAAATACCAATCAATGTTGACAAACACAAACAATAAGCCAATTTAGTATAAGACTTTCCTTCTCCCATTACTTCAAATCCTTGAAAAACATTCACAACTCCTAAAACCACACAAGCATAACCAACAAAATGGTGATAAGATTTCCAATATCTTCTAAATTTATTTGTCGTCTTAGGCCTAAAAAACAATGCCAATGTCTGTAACATGCCCAAACTAAACGTCGCAATCCCAAGTTTTCGATGTAGTCCATAAACTCTCCCAGGTGAAAGTTGACCTAATCGAATTCCAAATCCAAATCCAACAGTTCCAAGTAAAATTCCCGATAATTGTATCCCTGCATGTGCATAAAACCATGCAGGTCCTAGTGATTCTACGTGCCTTAAGTAACGCGCTGTGACCGCGCCTATAGGAAGAATAATTCCCCAAGAAATTGCATTTATAGCCCCATGAATATATTTTAGTGTCATGAAATTGTTATGATATTTTGCTTCTGAACCAGAAAGGACATCAATTGTGGCTATTGAAGAAAGATCATTGGTTGTAGTAGGATGAATTGTAGGTGAATAGCCTTGGACATATAATCCACGGTTCCAAACAAAGTGTATATTTTTGGTCTTGTTTGTAACAAGTTTTAACGTGGCATAAATTTGAATTGTAGCACCATTATGTATAGTAGCCATTTTGCCACCATATAAAGTAGATGAAGAAGTAAGGAGATGAATATCTAAAGGACGTGAAAGAAGTGGATTTTTTTGCAATTTGACTGATGGATCAATTATATAAGGTAAAAGAACAAGTTGGCCTGAATTTGGATCAGGAAAAGCTATTAATGCACGAGTTCCAGTCATTTCAGGAGAAGTAGGGTTAATTCCAAAACCAACCCAACCAGAAGGAGAAATAAAAGAACCAAAAAAGACAATATCAAGAGTGGCATTATGGGGATGAAAAGTCCAAGAAATAGAGGCATCTTGAGAAGGGAGTGGCATACATTTTTCAAATGTTTTGGTTGAAGTTGAAGTTGTGCAATGGGAGGAAAAGACTAGTGTAAATGGGAAAGAAGAGAGGAAAAGGAGAAAAAAGAAGAAGGGAAACATGGTAGTGAATTGGGAGTGTGATGAAAATGGTTGGATGAAAGGAATTAAAGGAGGGATAGATCTTTTGGTACTCACTTTGCCATAGAGGTTTTGTTAATTTGATATGATGCTTGTTGATGAAGAATTATTTGAGTTCTTTATCATGCTTGAACACTAGTCCTAAATGAATCATGAGGGAATTAACTTTATTAATTTAAGCTTAGCTTTGAAGCAAAGAAACTTGAATATACAACAACAAATGATAAGCCCAATATAATCTTACAAGTGAGGTCTAGGGAAAGTAGTATGTATCAGGGGCGACGCTACATTATCCGAAGGGCGGTCAATTGATTACGTCGAAAAATTACACTGTGTATGTAGATAAAATATTAGATTTTAGAGGTATATAATATATACTAAACACCATTTTTTGGGGAATTTATTTCACTTTTTTCAAGTTTAAACACCTTTGCTGAAATTCCTGGCTTCGCCACTTGTATGTACGCAGACCTTACCTCTACCTTGTGAAGGTAGAGAGGCTTAGTTAATTATTATAAGCGATGCGTACTGTTCACTTTGAAAAATTTAGTATAACATGAGTTTAATTTTTATGTAGTAACGGGTAAAAGAATTTTTATAACAAGATTGGATATTCTAGTTGGGGAACGCTTAGCTTTAAAGTCAAGGGAAAACTGAACTAACATGGTATACATTTTAAACAGATCAGATTTTGGACCCATAGACCATGATGTTGTGATGATAATGATAAGAAAGCTACTATTCTACTATATGTCTTTTATTTGAATCAAGAAAGCAAATGTAACTCATTTAAAGGGTTTGTCTCACCTTATATGTAGCTTTAATCATTTCTACTAGCTTTCCTTCCAGCTGTTAGAAGTCAATTTCTAGTAGAGCAGTGCGTTTGGTGCGGTGCCAACCACAAATGTAACAAAAAAATGGGACGATAATTTAATTAGAAAATCAGATTATACTTACGATTTACCTAAATGATCAAGTAAATAAAGCTAGTTATAACGGGATTGGAGAACACATTATGTATTTTTGCACATTCGAGTAAAATAATTAGGATAAACAAAATAAGTATCTGTTTTCCATTATGATATTTTACCCAACATAAATATAAAGGGAAAAAAAGGCAAGTACTACTTATGTTGATAAATTCTTGGTCCCATATTCACCAGTAGATCAAAAATTTGTGTCAGTACAAGGATAAGTGAGAAGGCTAAGTATGTATTGAAATGAGTATATAATTTTTTTACATGTATTTTCTTATTATGATCAATTAAACTTTTACTATAATCTTTAGGCGAAATGGCTTCCTGGCCACTTAAATTTGCATAAGTTTGTAAAGCCGATATATGAACTCTTGGGGTTTCCCATTTGAACACCTTTACTTGAAAAAAAGGCTACGAATAAACACTTGTAATGGTGCGTGTTGTTCAATTGCTACTGACATGGATTTAGTTTAATAATTTGTATAGCCACATCATCCATTCATTCATATTTTGTTGACACCTGTATATTCAAGGTTATCTAGGGATTTAATTAGTCAGCCGCAATTATAGCAAAGACAAATATATACAACTAGTGACACTTGCATTTTCCGATTAAAAACCATCTCAGTGTCCCGTCGTCGGTGACTGACCAAAAGAGCAGCTGCTAATAGGGAAGATGAACACAGACATAACAACATCGGCAAAGCCAGAATACCCAATTATAGATCGAAACCCACCTTCTACTAAGACTGTTGCCAATTTCAATACCCTCGATTACATCCGTCTCACCACCATCTTCGACATCTCCATCACTATCGGCTACCTCTCCGGTAAACTCCTTTCTCTGCTTTACTTTTTATCAATTAAATCTTATTAATCAACTCTTAAACCAACCAAAACCCTAAGAAAAAACCCGTTAACGAATCATTGACCCAGATCAAATATCTGGGAGCCTGATCCATCAAACACCACCCTCTTTCTTCTTTACTTTTTTTCATCTTCCAAACCTAAATAAAAAGTGCCAGTATATAGAGAGCAAAGGTTATAGAAATTTGAAGTATTATTTAGCTTGATTGCATTGAATTGAAGCTGGACCAAAACGAATTACAGTAAGAAATCTAAAATAAAGAGATAAAAATTGAGGAACCCTAGACCGAACGTGAAAGAAAAGAGAGTATGTGACTGAAGTCGATCGAGGATATAAGGATATCTTAATTATATGTGTGGCAGTTATGTACAGAGGTGGGAGGGAGGGGAAAAGAAAAGGGGAAAGGGAAAGGTTTTTTTTTGTCTCATTTATATTTTATTTTGATCTCATATTTTTTTTAATAAAAACAATACATTCCACCCGCCTTTGCAGTGTGATTTGCACATAATTTAGCCATGTCAGCTGCGCTGCTTTCATATAGGCATAGTCAATGGTCAAGTATGTTTATTAGTATCCATTGCATCAAGTTGGAGTGTTCAAATGGGAAAAGTGCAAGTTCATGTATCGGCTTTTAAAAACCCTACACGTTTAAGTGGCCAGGAAGCCATTACGCCTAATCTTTAATCCATCTTTATTAATGAAATAATTATGCTCCTGGATTGTTTTAAGATAACTAACTTGAGGCTAAATTAAAGAACTTTTACCCTTTGTACGTGTTGACAATACTGGGCCACTTGACAGCAGCCAAGAGAATTAACTATTGGGCCTTATTATTTCATACTTGGTTTGGGCCTTTATGTATACCCGGCCCATTTTCATTTAGTTATTCATTTTTGTATATACACGAACATTTTGGACAGAACACAATAATAAGAAATTCATTTCTCTTCTCAGATATTTTGCTCTTCTCTTTCTCTTTCTCTTCTCATTATTAGGGTTTCAATTCCAAATCAAATCTTCCGATTACACTAAGAATCGATGAATTAACATGGTATCAGAGCCTATTATCGACCGTTTATGGCTCCACATGTCCACTGACGGTGTTTGTTTCTCAAGTCCCTTCCTTATTGAAGTTTTCGTTGCCGAAAAATCTCTGGATTTTTCTTCGATTTTGATCGATTTGGTCATAACTGATGAATGTTAGAGGATTTCAGAGATTGTGAGCTATTTCTCTGGTAAATTTGTGACTCGATTCCGCGGAGTTTGTTCATCCCTAATTTCCGACTCTACCAGTGGTATCAAAGGTCATGGTGTTTTTTCTTCTGATAAATTGAAGGCCTTTCTTCTTTAGGTTGCAAAGAAGGACGATAATATCCTTTCATCACTCAAATTTGGGTTAAAGTATTGGTAGACACCAATTTTATGTTTTTCTGTACAAAATTGACTTAACTAGGGCTTAGAAATGAGTAGTCCTGAAGTGAGTTCGTCAACTACAACTGATGGTTTTGATGATTTTACTATACCTCCATCTCATCCTTTCTACATACATCCCTCGGACAGTCCAGGTGCTCACCCGGTGTCCCCTCCCTTTGATGGCAATGACTTTGTCATTTGGTGCAAAAACATGCTTACTACCATCTCTGCTAAAAACAAGTTAGATCTCATCACTGGTAGGATATCCAAACCACAATTTAGCTCTCCTTATTATCATTTTTGGAAAAGGTGCAATGACATGATCATTGCATGGATAACAAACTCTTTGTCTAAGGATATAACCAACAATGTAGTGTATTTTGACACTGCTAAGGATATATGGACTGACATTAATGAGAGATTTGGTATTTCCAATGATTCTAAATATATTCAACTTCAAAGAGAAATTAGTCTTACTTCCCAAGGTCATTTAGATATTGCTACCTATTCTACCAAACTAAGAGGTCTTTGGGATGAACTTAGTACTGCTTATGTTGGTCCTGTTTGTTCATGTGGTGCTCTCCCCAAATTCATTGAAGATCAGAAAATCTATCAATTCCTCAGTGGTCTGAATGAGTCTTATTCTACTTGCAAAAACAACATCCTTATGATGCCTTCCCTTCCTTCCCTGAGTAAGGCATACTCCATACTACAACATGATGAGAAACAGAAAGAGACCTCTGCTCCTGTCCCTGGTTTCTCCCATGATTCTGCCTCCTTTAATGCTTCAGCTGGTCATATGAACACTTTTACGATTTTTCATCAGAGTGTCCAATTTGATGCAAAGGGAGGTTATAGTTCATCTTCCAACCTTTCATGCAGATATTGTAAGAAGCCTGAGCACACCATTGATAAATGTTATATGCTACATGGTTTCCCTTCAGATTTTAAGTTTACCAAGAATAGGAAGTCTGCAGCTTGTGTTCAGTATGATGGACATCTTCTGGACTTTGCTTTTACCAAACCAAGTTCCTCTGATAACAATGGACATGGATTCAGTAAAGAACATTATCAACATCTCATGACTCTGCTTCAACAAGTCTAGACATCTCTGACTCTTCATTCTGAAAATTTTGTCATTGAAAATGCAGGATTTGCCAACTTTGTAGGTGAGTACAATCACCCTGAGGTGCATTCAGCTTCTTTTCATGCATGTGCAGTCTCACACTTAGGTTTAAACCATTGGATTGTCACCAACCACATGACATAACATAAATACTTACTTCACAATCTTAAGCCTTTAGTAACACCTTTTCTAATTACTCTACCTAATGGATATAAAGTAAACGTCATATCTACTGGTTCTTTGACTCTCAGGGCAGATATAATTTTGCATAATGTCTTATTAGTTCCCTCATTCTATTTCAATTTGATCTCTGTACATAATTTACTTCTTCAGTTCAAATGTCTTGCAATCTTCACCATTTATAGCTGTATTTTATAGGGCCTTTCTCTGAAGAGGCCTCTGGAAATTGGTAAGGCTGCAAATGGACTATACTTCCTGTATTCAGCTGATTCTCGTTTTCCTTTGTTTGTTCCTAGTTCCGTTTCCTCTTCTGCTCAATTTAGTGTTTCTGTTTCTGTCCCTAGCACTAATGTTGTTTCAAATTCTGTTGCTCATTCTATATCTCATAGTTCATCTTGTAATCCATCTCTTGTTGGTAATAAATCATGATTTGTTTTGGCATCAAAGATTATGCCACATTTTGTCACACCCCGAACCTGGGGGAGAGACTAGCACCCTCACCTATCCTTGCATACCAACTTGCAACTAAGAGACTCTGAACATATGATGTCATACTTTGGCCA